GGCTCCGGGCCTCCTCTGTGGGCTCAGTGTCCTCATGCCGGCGGTGCCCTCTACGGGGCCTGTCAGCACCCCAGGCCCAGGTCTGGACTGCCCGGCCCGAGAGGCCAACAGGGTCTCTGCCACAGCCAACTCCCCGCGGAACCGACTTAGACGCGCCCCAGCGAGGCCACAGAGCGGCTGGGCTTTGGGGGGGATCTGCCTGCCGTCTGGCGGGACCCGGCACTCTGCTCGAGGCAGACGCGTCAGTGACCTTCTCCGACCAAGTCCACGTCTCCCGGGGATTCCGTGCCTCCCGGAGCAAGCCAGCGGGTCGGGCCGGCCACCTGCTCCTTCAGGCGCCGCGTCCTCGGCCTCATCCAGGGCCCAGGGACTGGCCCTGAGCCCGACACAGAGGCTCGGCCTCCACTTGCTGAGTGACAGCTCCTCGGAGGCCGAGGATGGAGACGGCAGAGGAAGGGGTGGCTGAGACCACGCCAGCGCCGGCATGTGGGTTACACCCCCAGAGCCAGGTGTACAGAGCAGGGCCGCATTCGCAGTCTGCTGGGCACTGGGGGCAAGGCCCCTGGCTCCGCCCCAGTGAACGGGTGGGCAGGCCAGGAGCTCCCTGCGGGCAGGGGTGAGCAAGGGAGCACTGGCTCCCTGGACCCATCTAGCTGCTCCAGCCCATCTATCCCCCCATCCAGGGTGGGTCCCTAGCAGGCTCCCCGCTTCAGCTCATGACTTGCCCAGCCTCCTGCTCCAGCCAGGAAACTAGGCTTAGTTCCTCAGGTGCCCACACTCCCCACTCACCCACAGGCCTTTCCAGGTTCTGCTCTGCTCGGCACCCTCCTCTCCACTTTCACCAGATTCCCTCCTAGTGACCACTCAGGCCCCAGAGTAAAAGTCACCTCCTCCTGGAGGCCCTCCCAGATTCCCCAGCACTTGGCACTGAGTCAACAGTTCATCGCTATTTGCTGAGTGACTGTGACCTATACGATGCCCTGACCTGGGAGCTGGAGAGGGCTGGTGTTGGGCCGCCCAGTGCTATGCAGTCTGGGGACAGACAAGAGATGTGGGGGTCGGGGAGAGGGCTACATTTCAAACCCCAAACCCACATCCTACCCAGGAGTGGCTGCCTTGCAGAGAGCTTCCCTAGACAATGGCCTCCCTGGGGACCCCCAAGCCAATTCCAGGCATTGGGGTTGCCGCTTACCTTCTGGGTGGGCGAACTCGCGGAAGGTGGGCAGCGAGACGACGGTGTGGGAGACGGTGTGCACCAGGTCCCGCATGCAGCTGATGTCGCTGGGGCGGCAGGACTTGATGCAGCGGACGGTGTCTGTCTTCTCCTGGTGGAGCCTGAGGACAGAGCACGGGAGGCGATGGGAAGGTTGGACCCAGCCCTCACGGAGACGGGGCCTGGGAGGGAGGCAGGTGGCCAGGTGGGGCTGTGGGCCCACAGCCGGCTCCATCAGAGCCTCCACAGCCCGGCTGCTCCCTGAGGATGCCTCGGGCCCCTCCTACACCCTGGACAGGCCCCGAAGGGCAGGGCCGCGCCCCGTGTCTGTGGATGGCCAGGCTTTGCTCTCGAGAACTGAGCTCGTTCCTACAACAGCGGACACACACATTCATTCACTCGCGCAGCAAGTCTGTTCTGAGGGCCTGCCGGGGGCCAGGCCGCGGGGCACCAGGGGAGCCCTGCCTCCATGGAGCCCTCGGTCGGGCGGGTCACGGGGTCACAAACCAGGGAGCGGATATAAACCAGCTCGGTGCTCAGCACACAGTCAGTCTACAGTTCACGGGAGGGGAGGAGGGAGGAGGGCACAGTGTGTTACAGGTCTATGCTCCAGGCATCGTGCTAGACATATTTTTAAAATCTTTTTAGTGTAAAATAAAACCCTAACGTAAATGATACACAAAGCAAAGCTCTACTTTAATGAGTATTATAAGGCAAACGCCTTAGTCACCACTCAGGCCAAAGAGAGAGAGCCTCACCAGCCACCTGAGGCCTTCACGTGCCCCAGGCCACCCCTCCTGCGCCCACAGCAAGCCCGCCCTGACTCCCTGGCGGTCGCCTACCTGGGTTTCATCATAGTTTCTATCACACAAGTGTGCATCTCGAGACACAATAATTTGGACTTGTCTGGCAAAACTTTTTTATGTCTTTTTGTCTTTTTATTGATTTTTTTAGAGAGAAAGGAGGGGAGAGAGAAAGAAACATCAACGTGAGAGCAAAACATTGATCAGCTGCCTCCTGCACGCCCCCTACTGGGGACCAAGCCTGCAACCCAGGCGTGTGCTCCGACTGGGAATTGAACTGGCAACCTTTTGGTGCACAGGGTGATGCCCAACCAACTGAGCCACACCAGCCAGGGCACAATGTTTATGTCTTTTAAGTCCTTTTTAATCTACAGGCTTCCTCTCCATCCTCATTTCCCACAATTGATCTGCTAAGGAACAGAAGTGTCTGAGCCGTAGAGCCTCCGACATCTGGCCTTGCCGACTGCGGCCTCACGGGCTCAGTATGTTCCTCGGACCCCTGCATTGCCGGCACGCTGGCCGCTGACCCAGGCCCTTGGGCCAGATGGTAGTGGGTGGCATGTCTCCCATCAGGGGGCACGTGTTGTCTGGTCGTCTTCCTTTCTGTGACGTCAGCAGCTGTTTGTGCTCAGGGCCGAGACCCACTGATTCACCGGGGATTGGAAAACGCTGATGCGCTGAGTCTGTTGTTTCTTTTGCATGTATTGGCTGGAAAACTTCTGCAATAAACACTTCCCCTCCTATGTGAGCTGGTTCCCAGGGAGTGTGGTTCACAGAGCAAGATCTGGGCCTGATTCTTCCCCACTGTTTACCAGTTTCCAGGGTCATGAGCCAGCTCGCTATCATATCCAGGTGTTAACCACGGGTGATTTAAATATCGGTGTGAAATCAAGGACTTCAACTATCTGATGAATTCCAACCCATTGCAATTATTATCTTTTGTTGGAGCTCACGTGCTCTTGTCTTCGGCCAGAGGGAAATCAGGTTGGTCCCAGGAGAACTGGAGACTCTGCTCTGACAAGGTGGTCCAGCTCAGCTTGTGGCTTTATTGCCCCAGTGATTTCTCCAAGAAGTCTCGGGTTTGGTTTTTAATTTTGTTTCTATTTTTTTAGTGGAAATGGTATTTCAAAATCATAATCCAGATACCAGGGATACTCAATGCCACTGAGCTGGTCAGTTTCTAGGCCTCTGCACTGGACATTAAAAAAAAAGATTTTTTACTGATCTTTAGAGAGAAGAAGGGAGAGAGAAAGAGAGAAACATCGATGTGAGAGCGAAACATCGATCAGCTGCCTCCTGCAGGCCCCCTGCTAGGGATTGAGCCCACAACCGGGCATGTGCCCTGACCGGGAATCGAACTGGTCAACTTTTGGTGCACGGGAAGATGCACAACCAACTGAGCCACACCAGCCAGGGCTGCAGTGGACATTTTAGAAGATAAAATACATCATGAGTTCATACTGACCACGTCTGAGTCAAAAACAAGGCCCACACAGTTACTTTCCTTAATCTGGACTCTTTTACAAAGGAATCTCCTCTCTTCCATATCAGAATCCTGGTCCTTAAGAACACAGGCAATGACGGAATGTCCTAAAATTATTTATTTAGTTTATTCCACACAGTAGTCTCAGAATAACAATAGTAAAATTGCCACCATTAATTACCTAAAAAAGCATATTTGGGGACTATGTTCTCTCCGTTCTACCTACTAATTTTAAATAGATGTGCTATATCTACATTGTCTGAGCACTTAGCAATTCTACTGTACTTTTTCTTGTAACGCTCATCTAGTTGCAGTTCTATGAGTAACTGTTTTTAATGCTTACATGTTGATAATAGTTTGTACTCTCTGTACACAAAACGGTTTTGTTGGATATAAGGTCCTAGTCTTCTATTTTCTTGAGCATTCTAATTATTCATATTTTCCTGGCAAAAGTCTTGCTGTGAAAAAGTCTGATGAGAATATAATTTTTCCCTTAAAAGTTACTTGCTGGTTTTGCCTCGATGCCCATAGTTTTCTTTCTCTTTTCTTTAAAGTCCAATAATTTTTATTAGACTATGTTATTTTTAGTGGTGGTCCTGATTTTATTACTTTTACTAAGCTATTTTATCTCCCCCACACTCAGTGCAAAGAAAGAAAACAACATGAAGAAATATGTCCTCATTATTATTCACAATAAAAAGGACCTGCTTCGTTTTGTAGGCCCGGCTGTGCTGTGCAAGAGGAGCACTTCATGGCTCAAGTGGAACCAAGTACCATTGAGTTTGCAGACTTGGTGACTGGACTAACTCCACAGGAACTGTGATAAACAGAACCATTTCTGTGGTACCCCAGATCTCAGTAAATAAAACCTACACAAGAAAAGATAGCCCTGGCTGGTTTGGCTCAGTGGATAGAGCATTGGCCTGTGGACTGAAGGGTCCCGTGTTCGATTCCGGTCAAGGGCACATGCCGGAGCTGCGGGCTCAATCCCCAGTAGGGGGCGTGCAGGAGGCAGCCGGTCAATGATTCTCTCATCATTGATGTTTCTATCTCTCCCTCCCTCTCCCTTCTTCTCTGAAATCAATAAAAATAAAATCATATATATATAAAGATAACAATCAATCTGTCCATAAACTGTACCTAAAGACTCTTTCTTTAGGGTCAGTTAGAAAAGGGGCCCTTTCTTGAGTATAAGGACACATGGATTATTGTGGTCTAAAGATGGCTATCATGTCTGTTATAATGAAGATGAGGTAGACATCAAACCACTGTCAGATTAAGAAACTTCTCCAACTCGTCTCAATTCTTCAACTAGTGGAGCCAGCTCCTCTTCTAGGCGGACAGTCAGTCCTGCATTGGCACTGCCGCTGGCTATGAAACGCACCACCAAAGGCAAACGATTACATTGACCCACCTGGTTGGTGTTAGAATAGCAGGTGAGACTTTCATTTTTTGAAAGTCCGAGTTTGCTCCTTTGGCCTGTTGCAAGGGCAAAAGCAGATAAGAAACCAGATCTCAAGGGAGGCTCTGGAGCAATATCATTGGCCGCCTTAATAACAGGCGCTCCGCCTCATCAGACAGAAGAGCATGAGCCCTTCAACACTTGGTAACTTTTCATACAGGAGTCGCATTAGGCCATCGCACGACGAACCCCTTTCTCTCTCAGGTTCAATATCCAGCCCAGCTTGCTGGGCTGCCTGGTTCTCTGGGCAGCAGGGTTCGTGGCTGCCTCCTGCCACTTCAGGGGCAGCTTCAAAGACCTGGCCTATGTCTTGATGTTGGTTGCTCTGTGTAGGTATGTTTGGGTAGGTTGTATTTTTTCAATATGGAATTTCAATTTTTAAAAAATGTTTCTGTAAAGTTTTTTGAGTTATTATTTGTTACTATTTACTTTCCTCCTTATTTTGGGTGAGTTTCTTAGAGATCTCTATTATTGGTTTCTATGTTAGATCTTCTTTGCCTGCCTTCAATATCTGTCACTTTCTCTTTAAGCCTTTTCATCCCTTTTGTTATGTTTTTTTATTTATAAAACTTTTATTTTCAGCTTCCCTTTCTCTTGAGTATTTGTCTCTGAAATTGCTTTTTGCTTTCATGTTAAATTGGTCTACTGGACTTTGCAGGGAATACCTGTGAACTACTTTGGCATCTCCCACTGCTTTCTCCTGCATGGATGCCAGGTGGGCGTGGACTGTATTTGGGGACTCATGGGGACACCTTATCACCTTGTGTAGTTGTAAATGTTTTCTCTGGATTTAAACATTTTCTTATCTGGTTATTGTGTGGTTTTGGTTGGGATCCAGAGAGCTGCAAACACTATGTGCTGTATCTTCCCTCTTCCGGAATCTCTTTGCTACACATTTGGCACCTATTATCTCCTTTCCCCTTCCCAGCTTTCTTCTACACCACCCCGCCTCCTTCTGGTGAATAAAAGATCCTGTTTTGTGCTTGGAAATTACAGAAGGGGCTTGTATCCAGGGCTTCCTGAGACAAGGCCAGTTACAACCTGAGCAGCACTGACTAACCCAGTCAGCCTGCCGGCTTCCAACCTTCGAGGCCGCACGGGCACGGCTCCGGAGCAGACTCAGAGCCAGGCTGCCTGGGCCTGAGTCCCTGCCCCACCTGATACCAGCTGAGGGGCTGTGGGCAAGTGACTCACGAGTAAGCTCTCCACACTTCCGCGTCTTCACTGTGAAGCGGGGACCATAACAGTCCTTTCCTGGCAAGGCTGTTGTGAGGAGCAGTTAAGTGCTTAGAACGGTGGCTGGCCCGCAGGAAGCAGTACGTAAGCGTCAGCTGCCACAGTGTTTATCATCATTCTAATAATGACGATCCTGATTATTATCATTTCCCCCGGGGGGCTCGGTTTAGTTGAATGACTCGGCCAGAAGTGATGGCAGCTCTACATACCAATGACCTTGGATACATCCAACCCTCTGAACCTTCACTCCCTGTTTGTCTCCAGATCCAAATGAACACTGTTCACAATGAGCGAAGAAACCAACATGTATGGCTGCCTACCAGGTACCAGACATGGCCTTGGGAGTTTCATTAATCTCCACAGAAACCCATGGACCGAACCCCTACTCTGTGCTAGGCATCTTGCTAGGAGCGAGGGACAGGGCTCTGAAAGAGACAAACCTGGTCCCTGCCTTCATGAACTTTCTGGACTGTGGGGAAGACGAACGAGAAACAGGTAAATGGCCACTGCAAACTGCGATCGGCATCACGGAGGAAGAATTACGAGGAAGACTGACAGAAGAAACCCAAGCCCAGGGGTCAAGGAAGGCCTCTCAGAGAAAAGAACACTTAAGCTGAAGGTTAACTAACATTCAGACCAAAGGTGCAAAGCATGTGCAAAGGGCCTGAGGCAGCAAAGAGCTCGTCAGTGTGGCCTGCAGGGAGTGAGCAGGTGGAGAATGAGCTAAGCCTGGAGATGCACCCGAGAACTAAGTCATGCAGGACCTTGACAGGCACATGGGGGACTTGGGTCAGTGGTTCGGCTGGAATCCTGGTGGAGGTGGAGGGGCAGGTGGGTCAGAGCCCACACTGGAGGTCTTGTGACAGAATGGCACAGTCAGAGCCATGGAGTCAGCAAACTGAGTTTTAACACCGGCCGTGTGATCTTGGGCAAGTCGCTCACCCTCTCCGTGTCTCTTGAGGATGAGACACCTGCCTGGCAGGAGTGGAGGCAATGCAGCGAAGGACCTGATGCGACCGGGTGTCCCCATGAGCGGAGCACTCACTGCCCCTCCAGGCGCAGGGCCGCGTCCTGACAGCCTCGGCGCAGGCACTGGCCCCCGGAGGCAAGAGCTGCGTCAAGATGCTGCAGCTGCGCCCAGCGTTTTCCCACCACCAGGTCGGGCTGCTTCTCAGGACAAACAAGACGGCCAGCTTGAGCCACATCCACCAGAAAATGCTTTTTTTCCTGCTTCCGTTAAATGCTCAGCTCCAAGCGACACAGCAAGGAAACCAAGCTGGAGCCTGAAGCCCGGCTTGGCCACAAACAGGCCATGTAACCTCGGCCAAGACCCTCCCCTTCCCTGGGCCTCAGTTTTCACATCTGTAAAATGAGAGGGGACGGAGCTCGCCAATCCGTCTCCGAGGGGCCTTCTCGATCATCGCCTCTGGGCTTAAAGGGGGTAAGAGAATTCACTGGCAAGGGCACACGGAGCCTCTTCTGCCCTCGCCTGGGCTCCCGGGAGGAAGGAGCAGCAACCGCCACGGACAGCCACTCCCAGGCGTGCCCCAGGCGCCCCCGGGGGCACCAGGCCGTGGCAAGTGCCCGGCTCACCCTGATGATAAGCAACAGAGACCCCCACCCGCACGCGAGGAATAAACCAAGGCACGCGAGGCATGCGGGTGGATCGCCTGCTGAATTTTATTGAGCCGGGCGAGGAGGGTGAGGAAAGCGACAAGAGGGAGCCCCACGCCCACAGCGAATGCTCAGAGCTCTGCGGACACAAAGATGAAAAGCTTGGCCACAAAGGAGCTGACGGTGCCGTGGCGATAGAGGTCCATCTTGACGGTCAGGAGCAAGTCCCGGGGCTCGGGGACGGGCTTGGTGAGGGCCACCACCCCGCTGTGGGGGTTCACCTTCCGGGTGGTGAAAAAGCCCTCGTCATTGCCGCCGGTGATGGCCAGCTGCATGCTGTCCCCGGGGACGGAGCTGGAGGGGCCCATGCGGAAGACCACGGCGGGCACTTGGATGTTGGTGGGGAAAGAGAGGTGGTAGTAGGTTATTCGCAGAGGCAGCCTGTGGCACTCCTGATTCTCATGGCAAGGCAAGCGCTCGCAGCGGCTGCAAGACAAGTGACAGAGACAAGGGGGGTTAGGGCCGGTCCAGCAAGCGGGGGGCAGTGCGGGAAGCGGGTGCTCTGCGGGGCTCCCGCCCCTCGGGCCGC